TAAAGTGGTACAAAAGTTACGTTTTTGATGCAAAAATAGTTACCTTTTTGATGCATCCGCATAAACATTATGAAGATGTAATTTTGTCTGTTCACACGCATGTTCAGATTTGTAATTTAGTGTAACTAAACATGCATTTGTATAATAAAATGATTATCATATAATACGATCCAGACACACAATGCTATGCATTTTCCTAGTAATAGGAATACAATATCAGCTACTAAATCAAATTTATCTGATCTAATTAGCAACTCAACTAGAATCTTTAAACTAAATTTAACTTAAAGTCAATTTATTATAATAGATCTACTATATTAATTTTGTTTATTTTATATTTTCATTTCATTTGCCCCCTTCTTCCAAAAGTCATGAAAAGTAATGTTAACCAAAAAATTAACTTCAAATAGTCTTAGATATATATCTATTATTTTTTGCTTATGCCTATTTAATGCTACTAATTTTATTTTTTTTATTTTTTTTCAGTTGCTATAGTAGAGATTGACTCGATTGGTTCATAATAGCATGTAATCACATGACAAAATATATTTTCAAAGTTTTGATAAAAAATTATAAGATTTTATCAAATATACAAATATTATTTCTTAACAAGCTTTAACATAGATGTAAATAGATCAAGTTAAGGTATTTTTTAATAAGAATTTAGTGATCCTTTATTTATTAAGAAATATTTTGTTCAAATAATTCCTATATTAGTTTAACAAATAGATATTCTGGTTCAAAAAGCTATTTTTCTACAGACATATCATGCAAATTGATGGTATATCACATAATTGAAAAGGGAGCAGCCACACAATCTTCTAACTGCACATTGTTATGAGATAATTACAAATACTTTGACCTACATATAAAGATTACATAACAGATGTAGAATAAATAGGTGGGCATGAAAATATCAAACAAATGAAAGCAACAATAAAATAATACATGCCTGGCGCAAAGAATCAATATCAAGAAACAGGTAAGTTGAGTATAAATGCAAACAGCAATAAATTTAAGCTTTTATAGTGCTAAAAGAGCAACAGAGCAAGATCCTTGCTACCTTCTTAAAAAAAAAAGAAGATATGTGATTTCATCATTTCTTTATTCACAGCTAGCTTGCAATAAAACTGGATATATTAATATTATATATTGATATTATATATTCATATATTGATTCACAATTTGAATTACAGGATTTTACTTTAGCAATTCATAAAATAAGATATCCATATAGTGGTTCTATAATTGCTTATATTTTAAAATCAATTATTCAAAATTGGAACATCAATAAAAAATGTTTGATGATAACTACAGACAATACTAAAATATGATAAAGGCAATTAATAAAATAAAAAGAATTAATCAACTTGCATGTAGTACATATACTCTACAACTTGTAGTTGATAAAGGCTTATTACCAGTTAAAATACTAGTTGTATGAGCAAAATGGCTTATACAATTTTTTATATCACCAAGCAAAATAAACAGCTTGAGATTGCACAAGCATTATTAAATCATATTATATATAATAATATTAACAATAATTATGAATATTTACAAGCAATAGCTGATGTTCTAATGAGAAAGAACTCAATATATTTGGCATGGGTTCAAATTCTTAAATTGAAGTCTGCTATTGAAATAATGCAAGTTACAATAAGCCATAGTAATGATCCTGCAGCTAAAAAAGATGCACAATGTCTTAAAAGAATTATATTAACACTAAATGAATAGCAATTAATTGATGATCTAGTTAAAATTTTACAACTTTTTAAAATATTACAAAATTGCTAGGTGGAAGTAAATATGCCACACTGTCATATATGTTTCCAGCAATAACTTCATTATAAAAATTGCTTTATACTGATATCAATAATCATAGCTTCAATTATAGTAAATTTCAATGATTCAAATTTAGTATTTAATGATGATATGGATCTGGAAGAAGAAATCGAATTTGCTAAAAAACCAAAAATATTAGATATTGAAACTGAGAAAAAAATATAACAAATTAAAATTAACATATCACAAAACTGTAAAAGAATGGTAAATAAGGTTAAGTTAGCATTATTTAATACTTTGAATCATTATTGGGATCATCCAACTCACGAATCTCTTCTTGTAACAATCCTTGATCCAAAAAATAAAAAAATAGAGTTCACTACAAATAATCAAAGGCTTGAAAGCCAAAACTTATTTGGCAGCTGAATATGAACTTTTTAGAGAATCAATATCAACACCACTTAGTACAACACAAATAAAAAATAATAATAAAGAAAATACATTACTAGCTGCTATGTATACATCCACTATTCAAGATTCTAAAACTAATAAAGAAATTCAAAATTCTGAAACTAATGAAAAAATTCAAGTTTATCTTACACTTCCAAAAATTTCAAGTATACAATATCCATTAAAATGGTAGAGCAGCAACAAAATAATCTTCCAATACTAAGCAAAATGGTATGCAAATATTTATGTATTCCAGCTACTTCCACATCCAGTAAGCACCTTTTTAGCAATACTGGAAATCTTATTACTACAAAATGTAGCCGTTTAAACTCTTATTTATTTGAATGAATGTTATTTCTTAAACAGAATATAAATCATATTGGCATGATGTTTCCTTAAGACTAAAATATATAATGTATAATATATATATAATATAATCAATAATACTTTAAATTAGTAATTTATTGACTTTATATAAATTTCTTTTTATTTTT